GCGTATACTGTACTCTGTCTCCCTGAGATGGATGTCACAAGAGGTCGGAGGTGAGAGATGGCGCAAGGGGCTGGCGCGGTAGAAGCCGCCCCTAGGTGGGCCGCCACACCTTCCTCGGATCCCATGGAATGGGAGTTCCATAGAAACCACGTTGAGAAGGAGATATTTTAGCCTGACTCCGCCAGTCAACCACTCGCACACACAGAGACTAGGCTGACAGTTCACTCCAAGTTATCTCGTCAGTTGGCAACATTTTAAGCCGCGGATATTAGCTCACCATGATACCTTCAAGCACGCCAGGCTCGGTTTAAGTGAGAAGAACGCATTCAGCCGTTGACCTTATTCTCTAGCCACTGTCCAAATGGGTCAGTTGCCTGGTGCGAAGAACGAGCGTGCATGGGACACCTACACACAAAGTGAACTTGCTTAGCTTACTGTTTCATGAAGCTCTGTGTCTGCGACGCGTATATACACAGGACAGACGCTATATATGCAACAGTAGTATAAGTAATAGTAGTGAAAATTCGATTCCCAGGTGGTAGGTCAGAAGGAGGAAGGGCGGTCACCGGAGAGGTTTATTCTTTATCTGGCCCTTCGGATAGTTGTCTCGTCTATCCATCTTCAGAGAGTGAATACTCTGGCTCCTGGCTCTCGATATATGCCGCTCATTTCTTCCGTGCGCGTGGGGGGAGGGGAGGGAGTGAGATGACACAGATGACTAGCGCGCGGGGAGACCAAATAAACACTGACGCCCCAGTTGCAGAGAGTATCAACGCAGAGCAGAGACCGGGTGACGGTTAGCAGGCTGTTGGAGCGGCCTGCGGCTACTACCTAAAGACGCGAGCTCCACAAAGCGGCTTAACTTAGATTGGTAGACTTCGCACACGGAGGAAAGGAACGGCATATAGCGAGAGCCAAGAGCCAAAGTATTCATTCTCTGAAGATGGATAGATTAGACAATTATCCGAAAGGTCAGATAAAAAATAAACCTCTCCCGGTGAACGCCCTTGCTCCCTCTGAAATAGTCTAAGTATTAGTCAGTTTTCCCATTACTGACGAGTACTTAACGTAACTGCTGAAAGTGATTACAATTAAGGGCATTTTTGTCTAAATCCGCCACTATCTGCGTCTTGCCTTTTCAGTGAAAGTGCAATTCACCTACATGTGTCAGTTCATTAATGGGCATTGCACTCCTCGTTACAAATGTGCTTATTTCATGCCAACCGAGAGAGGATCTATTTAGATACCTGGGAAGTTATAGCAGCAAGATATTTACTAAAACTTGCTTCCAGACTACAGCTTATTAGACGGGATCCACTCACAAGTGCAGGTTTAACAAGGTCGATGTTCTAGTGAGCGATGACACTCTCATTCGACTCTTTTACTTGAGTCAAGATTCGTTAGTGAGCATTCCATTACGAATTGCAATCATTTCTCCAGTTTCGGTGTTGAGTCTTGAATGGGCTAGGTAGATGGTAATGCGGGGAGGGATAGGAGAAAGCTGCTATTCATGAAATTATCAGAGGGATATATTGCAGTGTAATTATCACGCTATTAAATTGTGACAATTAAGGACTCCGATGCGAAAGCGCAGGAAGCATCACATCCGATAGGATCACTGGTTATAGTTCTTGACCCTTCATTGCAATTTGGAAGACCTTCCTATGTTACAGATCCTAACAACGCATCGTAGGAGAAAGTCAATTCTGGAAGTGGTGCGTAAACACGATCACCTTGCCAGAACAACTTAAGGCAAAAAACAAATGCGAAATGTACAGACTTTGGAGACTATTTAGACCCTGATTGATGTGCCTTGAACAGAAAGCTAAAAAAGAACAAATGCAATGAACAACAGGGTTCACGTTTTATTGTAAACTAGATCACCAAACCCATTAAAATTCTGATGATTATTCCCAAATGCCATCATAAGGTTGTGGCCTACTCTGCTCACATTTTCATGAGAGTGGATTTGTATTTTATTATTCCAGTACCATATTTTGACTGGTAATCTGATCAGAGGATATCGGAAAAATTTCTCTCTCTTCGGAGCAGGCAATGAATGTCGAAGGCAAGGTCGGCGAGACAGATAGGATGAAAAATTGCCTAAGATTTGGGAATTAATCAGTATCTATTTAGCAGCCAAAAGGGACTGACATGCATACGGTGTTTAACTCACAGCTTGACCGCAGAATTTCGAACCCCGTTGTCTCACTGCTAGTTCGCATTGTTCGTTCAGGGTAAAATTGAGTCCTGGTTTGCTTATTGTGGCATGTTTGCTCAACATTTCCGGTGTAAATGCTGTTCTTTTGGAATTTTGAGTACGCAGACACGAAGAGGCAGGTTTTCTAAAAAAAGGCATACGTAAGAGCGCATACAAACGCTAAACATCTTGCAATAAAACTCATAGAGCACTTTAAGTGTAAATATGTTAGTAGTAATAATGTTACTATTTATATAGTTGATCCAGTTGTGAAAAAAAACACGCGGCGTTTGGCGGGAGTCGAACCCGCAAGTGTGATCAAATTCACGGCTCAACTGGTAGAGCGTTGGCTGCATAAAGGCCTTCCCTGCTATGTGGGTTCGACTCCCGCCAAACGCTGCGAGTTTTTTCCCAATTGGGTCAGCTAAATTAAGCAAATCTGCCAAAACCCCCCGGAATAATTAATATTAATAGCCAAATGGTTCGCATAGTTTAGTCAGCAGTGAGTGTTTAGTCATTCCACGTGTCTTATAATATCAGAGGAGAACCTAAACTTGCTTAATATATGGACTCTGCAGGTTGTATAAAGACTGAAAAATTGTTCTTTGGAGCGATTACGGTTCGTCACTTCTTAACCAAACTTTAATGACCAGTTATTCAAAAGATACAAAACCAAATCTAAAATCAAGACTATGACGCAGCTTTCATAGGAGAAGGTCGCTTATCGGAACTAAAATCTTTGGAAGATTGTTACTCATGTTAACGAAAAAATAATTTTTTCCAGACAGATTGCAGTTTTCGAGCATTCGATCTGGAAGAAGGATTTTTAACACAAAGTATTTGTTTAAGGTCAAAAAAATACCTTCTCAAGGGCTAAATGTTAAGAATGAAATTTCTTCGCGATATGGGTCGAAAATACAGCTCGGTTTCCTAAACTACGTAGACGAATAGGAATAAGTAATCTTGTCAAAGGTGTTGTAATTTAATTAATAACAAGCTTTCGAATTCCCAGATGATTCGCGAGAGGAGGCCGAATCGGCTAACAAAGAGAAGTACAGAAGTCCTTTTAGGGTCCATATTGAAACGCATAGTGGATGATAGACTACAGGTGGGTCTTTGGAAGGCAACAAACGTTCAGAACATTTGATCCAAAGATTACAGGCAACCTGGGGAGCACAGGTTTGCTTTCCACAATTGCCTATTAACTCTAAACGCTGATGTGTTTACTGGTTAACAAATCAAATGGTTTTCAGCTTACATGCAAATGGATGTTTTAACGCAAGCGACAAATACCAGAACTGATTTACATAATAGGGTTTGGTTTGGGGCAGGAAACAAAGCGGCAAGAAGTTTACTTGTCTTTCCATTATGACAACTGCAGGATCAGCATAAAACTTTCTGAGCACAAGGGAACTACCACGGTTGTTTTTCCTATTGCTGGTATAAGCTACACTAATACTTTTGCATAGTTTGCAGTGGCCACGTAAATCATTCAAAAAGCTTCACTGGGCGCAACGCCAAATTAGAAACTATCATATAGACAAGGATGGTGCTAGTGGATGTGATAAATTACGTATATGGGTAGACGAAGGTCGTGCGCCTAATGCGGGCAGTTCCATCAGAACAATGCTGGAAGAAAATGTAATCGTGGTGATGACTGTGAAGTCATACTTATCCTCTTTGTGCAGAATGACATTCTTCTAGAATAATAACTGAGCTGTTCCGAAGATAGTAA